CTGGACATGTCCAAACCACTGTCCCTCCTCTGGACATGTCCAAACCATCTCAGTCTGGTCTCTCTAACTTTATCTCCCAGTTGTTCAACCTGTGCTGTACCTCTGGTGATCTCATTCCTAATCTTATCCATCCTTGTCTCTCCTAAGCAGAACCTCAACATCTTCATTTCTGACACTTCCAGTTCTGTCTCTTGTATTTTTGTCCACATCTCTGTCTCCAGACCATACGACACAGCTGGTCTCACCACTGTCTTGTAAACTTTTCCTTTGACCTTTGCTGACACCCGTTTGCTGAAAATCACTCCTGAAACTTTTCTCCATCTTGCCTGGACTCTCTTTTTCACTTCTTTATCACATTCCTCATTTTCCTGGACAGTGGACCCCAAGTCCTTGAAGTTCTGCACCTTTGTGACCTCTGCTCCTTGTAGCTTCACTGTTCCACCTCCTCCCTCTCATTCACACACATGTACTCTGTCTTACTACGGCTGACTTACATTCCTCCTCTTTCATGTGCATACATCTACCTCTCCAAGTTCTCTTCCACCTGTTCCCTGTTCTCATCACAGATCACAATGTCATCTGCAAACATCATAGTCCACGGGGATTCCTGCCTGACCTCGTCTGTTAGTCGGTCCATCACCAGAGCAAACAAGAAGGGGCTCAGAGCTGATCCTTGACGCTATCTGTCACTCCTACAGCACATCTCACCACTGTCCTGCTGTCCTCATACATGTCCTGCTGTCCTCATACATGTTCTGCTGTCCTCATACATGTCCTGCTGTCCTCATACATGTCCTGCTGTCCTCATACATGTCCTGTGCCAGTCTAACATACTTCTCTGCCACTCCAGATTTCCTCATGTAACACCACACCTCTTCCCTGGGCACACTGTCATATGTTTTTTCTAAATCCACAATGGAGTTCTTTCTGACCCTCTCTGTACTTCTCCATTAACCAGCAGCCTCAAAGCAAAGATGTCTTGTATGAACTCTCATATTATTTTGGCAAAAGTGTTTTACGTTGGATGCCCTTCCCGACACAACCCTCACCATTTACCTGTGTTTGGGACCAGCACAAAAGATACACTGGTTTGTGCTCCCTAGTGGCTGGTTTCATTCCTGTCAAATCTAAACTGAATTAATGCCAAAGTTATTCAAAGAACTATCTACAACAGGTAAAACACTTACTGTTCACAGTCTTTTCTCAAAACATTAAGATTGTCCTTCATGTTGGCTTTTTTTTTTTTACAACATGGTAGAACTTTTTGGTTGCCACAGTATTTACTCCAGACACATCACACACAAAGAAATGGGGATTTTTCAAAATAAATTCTTTAAAAAAAGTCGATTTAACAGCTGGTTGTCAAACCCAAACCTTTTTGACCAGTTATTACAAAATATATTTGATTCTCCAGTTTTACTTTTACTGGTGAAAATCTTTTATCAGTCTTATTATGATGTTCTAAATATTTTTGTCTGGTTATATTTACTCAGTTCTATACTGTGCCATGTGTCATCATGCATTGAGTCACGGGCAAAGTGGTTTGACAAGTTTCCATAAAACCTTTGTCTACTTTTCTAAAATCACCAAACATTACAGACTATGATGTAGGCGACACAATAATTTATGAAAGTATGGTCTTTTAACTGTTTAGCATATTATCAGTGATATGCATAATTCAAATGTATTTAGTCATTAAACACACAGTTCAATTGAACAGGTTTAACTTTATTAATAATATGCATCCATTTGAACAACTCTAGTAAAACCAGTCACTGCAGAAACATCAATTCAGCAACAGTATTTTTCCACCGCACCTTATTAAAACATGTAAGGGTCAACTTTTAGTATCTCTCATGTCATCTTAATTTTATTTTAAGAAGCCCGAGCAGAACAAAAGCAACAGCTGACTAAAAAAGAACAAACATTCAAGTTAAACTTTGACAGAAAATATTTGGTTTAGGGGAGAAAAAAAAGAGGGAGAGACAGCGCTGCAGGTTGGAAATATTTAAGGTAGGAGTCTGCAACCTTTACGATCAAAAGACATTTTACACCTTCGTTCACTAAATTACAAGTGATCAGAGCCGCAACAACTATGATTTTCAACTGGTGGCCCGTGGACCACTTTAGGTTTGTTGGAGGGGGCTTTTGTGGCCAGTAGGGGTGACGTTATAAAGCTAAAGATATATCTAATGAAATAAACCACAGACATGTTCCTGTTTTTAGTTTTCTACACCGCCTTATCATCCAGCTGGTTTTTTAGCTACTTTTCCTTTTGATCGAGTTTTTTAATTATTAAAAACCATGATCTATGCAGACCTATGCATTATTTTATTTTTTTTTATTGTGGGAAAATTAATTAAGTATAAAAATTAAAGCATAACGTTAAAGTGAGTGTGTTTTACTCTTTGTACATGTTCCAGTGTTCACATATTTACGGTCATAGTTGCAAAAGAAATGACAGGAAAACAGCTATGGTCCTTTTAGTTGTTGTTATAACAACCAATAAAATTCAGTTTTATGTCAGTTTTGGTCAAAGCTTGAAAGAGCCGCTGCAGAGGGACCAAAGAGCCGCATGTGGCTCCAGAGCCGCAGGTTGCAGACCCCTGATTTAAGGCAATATCAGAGCAGCTTTCAGAGGACACTTACTGGACTTTTTCCTTCTTTATTTTACAATAAGAGGCATTTATGGTTCCACATTAGTTAAAGATTGCACATTGTACAGCTGAGTTAAGCTAAAATACCTCGTTTTGTTCTAAAATAAGTGTATAACTGGATAAATCGTACAAAATGGGGTAAAAGAAGTTCAGTAAAATCCTTGTTTTCATTTAAAAATTGTGTTTCAAAACCTTTTTCTATATGTTTTAAAATGGTAATTCTCTCTCCCTTCTTTTGATCTGCAGCTCGTCTGATAATTGTTCACTCAGTCGTTCTCCCCCACTCTGAAATGATGTTCTCCTGCTCGGCCCTCTGAAACCACTCGCACCAGGAGCCGTCGTACAGAGGGACCCCCGGGGAGCCGAGCCGCTCCGCAGCCAGGACGATGTGACACGCAGTGACTCCAGAACCGCAGGAGGCCCAGAGCGGACGCTGCAGGTCCACCCCGGCGTCTTTAAAAAGCTTGGCCAGGGCCTCAGTTCCCAGATGTTTCCCAGAGGGATCCAGGAATTTGGGGTACGGCATGTTGATGGCTCCGGGGAAATGTCCAGGCAGAATGTCTGAGAGGGAGAGACAAATGGAGGGGGTGAGAACGATTTAAAGATAAAATATTGTCTTCAATGAACTCATTATCTTGTTGAAGTTTCTGCCTTTAATCTGAATTAAGGAACTTAATAAGTTGGACATGGGAACCTGATCCCAGGTCTAACCTGCATTCTGCAGCACGGCAACAACTAAGCTAACAGCCATAATTTGTGAATACCTAGGCCTGTCACGATAACACATTTTGCTGTGCAATTAATTGTCTCATAAATTATTGCAATAAACAATAATATTGTTTGAAATTTGACAACAATTAGTAATTAGTGTCAAATTGAAGAAATGTTGCCTAATTTGTTTTACATGTAGTACCTTTTTTCGAACACCGGATGGCAGTATAAGACTGCTCGCTCCATCCTTCAGTTCAGCCTTATACTGCCATCTGGTGGTCGAAAAAATGTACTACAGTCAAAAAATGTACATTTCTTCTTAAATTTGACAACTACTAATTCTTGTCAAATTTCAAACAATATTATTGTTTATCGCAATAATTTCAGAAACAATTAATCGCACAGCAAAATTTGTTATTGTGACACGCCTTGTTCCTGCCCAGCTGCTCCATGCAGCTCCTGGTGTCTGATTCAGCCCTCAAGGGGGTTTTAATGTCTCTTCTACTTTGTTGAGGCTCTGGCCCACCTGGCAGCTAAGAGCAAAGCACCGCGTCTTCGAAGCTTGGCCTCAAACTCTCGAACAACTCTTGGCGATGATGACTGAGCTCGTGCGTCAATGAACCCTGGCATGCCCCACCGGAGTTTGTCTCAGGGAGCCCGCCACGTGACGAGCGTGGCACAGGCTGCAGGGAATAGAATGAGGGTAGACTGGACTAGACCAGCCTAGGCACCTCTGCCCGCAGGCACCAAGACGGCCTCGCGTTGACGACAGGCACATGCGGCAAGAGACCCCCACAGCAAGGAGTCAGTAGAGACGAGTTTAAGGGCACGGCCTCTCGCAAAACCCTCCCTGCGTCACAGACCAGTGCTTTTTGCTTGAAGCTAAATGCGTGAACTACTGTACAATATGGCTGACCTACAATATGGCCGACCTACAATATGGCTGACCTACAATATGATGACATCAATGAGAGCTATGTGTAAACTGATTGAGTGAAGTATTGTCGTAGCTTCACTTGGACTCATGGAGAGACCGAGCACAGTAAAAATACTGTCAGCATTATATGTTTGTTTGGTTGTCTGCATTTGTAATACAATCTAGAGATCAGGTGATTTCATATTGTGCTGACTCATGATGAGTTGCAAGTCTAATTTACTTTAATAAATAATTAAATGTTTTTAAGCCAGTTTGGTTACAGTTTGCCATTGAGGTCTGACACAAACCCAACCTAGAATACTTTAATGCTTACAAACAACTTAATGGCGTCCCTGCATTTATTTATATTGTAACTCATAATAGATTCACACAGTCATAATGAACGGCACCTGGAAAGAAATAAAAGATAAATACTCTTTTTTTTGTTTTGATAGAGCTGCTCCCTGAAAATACACATACAGTATTTATTTATTTATTTTAATTAAACATATTGTTCATACACATTGATGACATAATTGTGAAGCTTTACCACCTGTACTGGTTCTGCCGGTTGGGTCCACCTACCATCCAGATCTGCATGTGTAACATGACTCAGCATTTTGACACATAACCCATCTCTCATACAAAGGCACCTCTGCCGTTGCCTCTTTGTACCACAGTTAGTTATGAAAGGATGTCAGAGACTGACAAGTGAAAACGACTTCTCCTTTTGTATTTTATTTTGTGGATTCTACCACAAAGATGTTTGAGGATTAAATTGAAGAGAGGGAGCAATAAAAGCACTTCATCTGCCTATTAAACGATTCCCTGTTAATATGAGCTCCAACAAAGCAGAGGTCAAACATAACATGAAGGTTGGGGGAGATTACACGATTGTATGCAATAAACTGCAGTGCATGTGCAGTTAAATGTGTTTTATGTAAATATACGTATGTTTAAATGTGGCTTTAATAAACTCAGAGTACGACACCTAAATAACAGATCATCATTCTTTTGTATTGTTTAATATATAAAAGCTCCTGAGTCTGACAGTTCTGCAAGGTGAAAAATTATACTGTATACTAGTAATATACATGTATGTATACATACAGTATATACATATATACAACATGTAGCACTGTATGTGTTGATATATGTATATATATATATATATCCACATAGATATATATCCATATATGTGTACATATATGGATATATAAAACATTGCATATAGTTCTGCTCACCCTCTCTGGGTTCTGGATCAGTACCCTTGAACCTGCCAGCAGACCTGCCGTCCACCACCTGGACCTTCTTGGTCTTGATGTTCTCCAGGACGTCTTCATAGCTCTTCACCCATGATGCGTTCAGGGTCGCTCGGAACTCTCTGCTCTCCGGCTTCTTGTACTGGGAGCTCACCGGGTGTCCGTCAGCCTCCCAGTTCTTCATGCCTCCGTCCAGCACCGACACCGAGTCGTGGCCGAACACCCGGAACATCCACCACACCCGGGGGGCGCTGAACGAGCCCGCGCTGCTGGTGTCGTACACGACGACGTGCGTGTCGTTGCCGATACCGAGATCTCCGACGACCTGAGAGAAGAAGTCGGAGCTCGGCAGCATGTGGTCAAACTTGGAGCTTCTATCGCAGCATTCATCTATGTCGAAAAACGAGGCGCCCGGGATGTGTTTCTGAGCGAACTCTGCTCTGGGGTTCCGCTTAGCTTTGGGAAGGTACCAGGAGCTGTCCAGGATAGAAAGCTTTGGACCGACCAGGTTATCTTTGATGGCATCTGCCAGCCACCGACTTGAGACCAGAGAAGGAGTCTGAGCCGCCATGACGAGAAGTTCAGTCCTGGAGGAAATGTAGCCTGATGGCAACAGACATTAGTATTTATGCACTTGTCACGCCCTTATCTTCAGCCAGGAAGTCCATCCTTAGAGCTGATAAACTCCCTCTCTCTCTTTATGGTTTAAAAAATGATCACAGAAACTGTCTCCAGGAGTACAGTGAAGGAAACCAGTTGCGTCTCCAGAATTTTTTATGGGGTGGCCATGTGAGGGGCCCCGTAAAATCCTGGGGTGGCACACCAAAAGCCAGAAAAAAAAAAATCAGATTCGTTTTCATATATGTTATTCGACAATTACAGCAATACTGTAGTATGGTAATCACCTTCTCTATTTAGTTTTTCTTCTTACTGTTGATATTGTTGAGAAAAGGTCACTGAATATTTTTCTCTTAAATTAATGTAAATGAAGTAAAGTGAAATATATGTAAAACAAATTGCATAAAACGTCTTGAAACTGCTTCCTGATGTTGAGGACATTGGTTTTAGACCAGATAACCTTATTCAGAGACAAGATTTAAACTTTTTTCTCAATTTTTAATTAAAGAAAGCATTTTAACTAATAAATAGTCATACATAAAGTTAATTTTTATGTCTATGAGGGTAGGAAGTTAAAAATGAACAAGCAAAAGTTTGGGACTCAAGATAAAACTGTCTGATCATTGGGGGTGGCACTAACCTGTTTGAGAGGGTCATTGAAATGGGATTTTGTGGACAGATTATGAATAGTCTGTATTTTATCTGTTGTAGTTGACTCTTTGAATGACCTTCTAACTAGATAAACAAGCTAACAGCTAGCCCTAGACCAAAGTGGATTTGCCACCAGTTTCACACAATTGTATAAACTTTGACAATACTGTTAGGTTCTCATTACACAATTATTCCATCAGAAATTGGATTTTATTCTGGCAGAAAGTGGTCCAGATTGCACTACAGCTAGCTGCCTTTAGCACATTATTGTAATTTTCATTTGTTAAAAGTGCTTTAGTTATCAATAAGAAAATCTAATTTCCTCCATCATTTGGATTTGAGAACTTATTAGAAAAATCTGGATTGATCCTGTTTTGAATCAAACAATACAAAATGTTAAAAATACCTTGTCAATCATCATGGAAAATAAGCCATAGTTCAACCATTTTAAAGCTGTGGGGCTCAATTTTATTGTTTGTACATAGACACACATCTAAAACCAGATGTTCTTTACAGAACTAAAGTACTTTATTTAGATATTATTTCATAATTTTAGCATATTGAAGGATCATAGACATAGTACTTACCAATATAGTACCTCTAACGTAAAAGGAGTAAACAAAACCAAAAACAATTGCATTTCCTGTACAAATGCAGTGTGAATGCTTATTGCTAAATGATTTAGCTGAAACCAACAATTTTCAGTCAGGTCATCTGGACAGTTTCTTTTTTTTTTGTTGTTGTTGTTGCTGAATTACATGCAGTAGCTGGATACCAGCTACTGCATGTAATTCAGCAACAACAACAACAAAACAAACAAACAAACAAAAAAAAACTGTCCAGATGACCTGACTGAAAATTGTTGGATTGTATACCTGGATTATTGAGCATGGACTTTTTTGATTTAGCTGAAAGCTGCTGAAGAAGTTGAAACTAAGCTCTTGATGCATACTAAATAATCCAGGTAGAAAATTTTACAAAGTTAAGTCAGGTCCTCTGGACAGATTCAGAAAATAAAAATAAATTACATTAAAAACCCTTATTGAAATGTTTTGACAAACTCGGTCTTATAAATACAGTAGCACCTTCTCATAGTGGACCAACAGTTTGCTGGTGACAGCCAAAACTAGCTGTTCACATGATAAAGGAGGACCATCAGCCTAACAATTGGTCGTTGGTGCTTTTATGGCCACTTGCTATTCACAGAGGGCTGAGTGATACTAGCAATAACAGCATTGTAAGATGGGGACAATCGAACACGGAGGCCTCCACCCCTGTTTAATGATGGACGGTTTCTCTTTCCAAAGCTGGCTTCTTAGTTAGATGCATCACAAACAATGATGAGTCCAGCTACAGGCAGGAGGTGGAACACCTGAAGAGCTGGTGCAAGGTTTAAATGCTTTTTTATGGCCATGAAAGTACAAACACCCTCAGCTCCAAATCTTATGCCTTTTATTCAGCTGCATGTCCCCGACCATTAATAACTAATTTAAAATGTCAGGGTTATTTTCCCGGGTTCGGACCTGTAATTACTGTTAATTCGTCCGGTCCGGTGGGGTTCGGAAATTATGACTGCGGGCTGGAGCTGTGTCGGATCAGAATTTTTGGGCCCGAATGCAACTCTAACCTGAATGGACATGTTGGTGAAGGAAACACAGGGGATGAGCAAGTGATGGGTAGGTTTGATGTCAAGGAAATACAAATGGTGGTGGATTTTTCCAAGAGAATGGACATGGCTGTAGTCTAAAGGTCTTTCCAAAGAGGGAGGAACATAGAGTGAGCTATAAGAGTGGAGGAAGGAGTACACAGGTCGACTACATTCTGTGTAGAAGAGGAAACCTGAGGGAGATTGGAGACTGTAAGGTTGTGGCAGGGGAGAGTGTGGCCAGACAGCATTGGATGGTTGTGTGTAGAATGACTGTTGTTGTGAAGAAGAGAATAAGAGTAAAATCAGAGAAGAAGACCAAACAGTAGAAGATGAGGGTGGAAGAATGTTGTGAGGAGTTCAGAGAGGAGCTTTTAAAGGCTCTCGATGGTAAGAAAAAGCTTCCAAATGACTGGACTACTTCAGCAACAGTAATTAGAGAGACAGGTAGGAAGGTACTTGGTGTGTCATCTGGACAGAGAATGGATGGTAAGGAAACCTGGTGGTGGAATAGTGAAGTGCAGGAAGTTATTCAAAGAAAGAGGTTAGCCAAGAAGAAATATGACATTGAGAGAAGTGAAGAGAGGAGACAAGACTACAAGGGGATGCAATGTGGAACAAAGACGGAGGTGGCAAAGGCAAAACAAAAGGCGTATGATGAGTTGTATGGGAGGCTGGACAGTGATTTGAACCACTTTGGCTGTGACTGCCTGCCTGGGAGGAGTCGACGAGGGACAGGACGGTCTTCAGAAACCATCTTAGCTCCAGCAAACTGGTTGATCCACTTAAGGAGTTTACTGCTTGGTGGGGAAACAGCTTACTGGAACTCCTCTGACTGATGAAGCCATCCGGATAGAGGGCGAAACGTCTTTATAAAAAAAAAGGAACAGTCCAGATGACCCGACATAATTATTACAGGGGAATTAAGTTGATGAGTCACACAATGAAGATCTGAGAGAGAGTTGTGGAAGCTAGACTTAGACGAGAGGTGACTGAGCAGCAGTATGGTTTCATGCTAAGAAAGAGCACCACAGATGCCATCTTTACTTTGAGGATGTTGATGGAGAAGAACAGAGAGGGTCAGAAAGAACTCCATTGTGTCTTTGTGGATTTAGAAAAAAAAACATATGACAGGGTGCCAAGAGAGGAGGTGTGGTGTTGCATGAGGAAATCTGGAGTGGCAGAGAAGTATGTTAGACTGGCACAGGACATGTATGAAGACAGGACAGTGGTGAGATGTGCTGTACGAGTGACAGATAGCTTCAAGGTGGAGGTGGGATTGCATCAAGGATCGGCTCAGAACCCCTTCTGAGATGGACAGACTAACAGATGAGGTCAGGCAGGAAACCCCATGGACTATCATGTTTGCAGATGATATTGTGATCTGTGGTGAGAACAAGGAACAGGTGGAAGAGAACTTGGAGAGGTGGAGGTATGCACTTGAAAGAAGAGGAATGAAAGTCAGTCGTAGTAAGACAGAGTACATGTGTGTGAATGAGAGGGAGGAGGTGGAACAGTGAGGCTACAAGGAGCAGAGGTCACAAAGATGCAGGACTTCAAGTACTTGGGGTCCATTGGCTAGGAAAATGGGGAATGTGGTAAAGAAGTGAAAAAGGGAGTCCAGGCAAGATGGAGAAAAGTTTCAGGAGTGATTTGTGACAAAAGTGTGTCAACAAAGGTCAAAGGAAAAGTTTACAAGACAGTGGTGAAACCAGCTATATTGTATGGTCTGGAGACAGAGACATGGACAAAAAGACAGGAGAAAGAACTGGAAGCGGCAGAAATGAAGATGTTGTGATTCTCCTTAGGAGTGACAAGGATGGATAAGATTAGGAATGAGATGATCAGAGGTACAGCACAGGTTGAACAACTGGGAGATAAAGTTAGAGAGACCAGACTGAGATGGTTTGGACATGTCCAGAGGAGGGACAGTGGGTATACTGGTGGAAGGATGTTAGAAATGCAGCTGCCAGGAAAAAGACAAAGAGGAGATATATGGATGCAGTTAGAGGAGGTGGAGTGAGGAAAGTGAAGAGGGAAAAGTCGACCACCACACTAAATTTTAGCTCAATATCTGTACTGACAGAATTGTAGCCATTTTTTTTGTTTGCTAAGACTGATTAACTGTGGAAGATTTAACCTTGTTAGACCAGCTGAGCTGCAATGACAGGAAGTTCAAGTTTGGACAGCAGGAAGAAAATGTTGATTGCTAACAGGACAAGCAGATGTTTTTCATGCACGCACTTGTCCCGTCCTAATCTTTAATCAGAAGCCCAAAGTCCATGTAAAGACTCACTTATTGGTTGCCAAAGGGAAAACTGTTTACAGTATATATTAAAAAAATCTTACCCTTATTTTGTCTTTTTGTCTCTTTCTTCAGGATAGTTTTTAACAGTGAAAGGTGCTGTTTATACACAACTGTAATTACAACGGCTCACTAGGCATAGCTTAAATTCCACAGACAGGAAAAGGCATCAGAGAACTGTTAGATAATAATCTACATAGAACAGCTCATGAGTCAGCTAAATTATTTTAAACAGGCCTGGAAAGATAGTAGAATATCTTGTATGACAGAAAAAAGCTAATAATAAAACACAATTACAATAATGAGATTGAAAGAAATGCAGTCATGTGATGTGTGCAATTATATGTCTGTTAGTAAAATAACCCATGAACCACTGGATGGATTTCTGTGAAATTTTCAGAAGTTAATA